ACACACACACACACACACACCTAATATCAGCCTCCGAAGTCGTGGGGACCGGGCTTTGGTCCTCACAAGGAGCATCCAATCCCCACGAGGCTGCATTTTCCTGAAAAACTGTCCCTACTAAGTAGCAAAAAAAGGACACACACACACGTTTGTTCTTCTATCCTCATGGGGACTTTGCATTGACTTCCATTCAATTACTGGTAATTTCTACAGCCTAACCCTGACCCCCTACCCTAACCCAACCTCACAGGTACATACCTGCCCCTAAACCTTACCTAAACTCAATCCACACCTTCGTCCTAAACCCACCAATGGTATTTCCCTCGACGGGTACTGGGTTTTTGTCCCCATAAGGATGGAACAGTGGGTCCTCATGTCCTCATGTACACTTTTTAACCCCAACCCTCATCACAGGGGTCACCAACAAAATTCAGTGAGGGAACTCAGATTCTGCATAGGCAAGAATTATACTAATTAACCTGATTAATAATATTAATATTAATATTAAAAATAATAAACCCTGATGTTAGGAGGTTTGCGTCCAAAGAAAAAAAAAAGGCCTTTATTCAAACAGAGTTTACACAGTTTTGTTGAAACTGGCACAAGAGTAGCTTTTTATTAAAGACGCCAAGAAGCTGGAAACCATTTTGTTTTATTAGTTCTGTTGGTTTTATTGATTTTTACAACTCGTGCTCTTTTATTTTTACGCAAACTAAATATTTCCCCCTTGTTTTCTTTGTGATGTGTTAATAATAAGGTTTCTTCAGCTCAGAACCAAGAAAAGACAGAAACGTGTGGCGCAGGGGGCTGACATTGAGGAGTTAACTCGTTTTTTGTCGTTTGGATAATTTACTCTCCACGCCTTTTGGAATGTCCCAGTTACAGCAGGTGTACTCTGGATGAACCCGCTTCAAGTACGAGGAAGATGGACTCTGCACGCCTGACAGACTTGCGCCGCCATTGGCACCCTCTCGGTGATGTAGCAGTTGTATTAAAATGGCGGCGCTGATAATCCAAAAGACCTTTCTCTGGGAGAATTTGAGACGGACTGCACAGATGGGCGGCAGAGATAAATAAAACTCTCTGTCACTACGGTTGGTGGAATAGTGCTGCGACGCCCCCAAGGGAGAGAAAAACTGTTTCGCTCCCTTTGCCGTACCCCCCTCCGTCTGTCCCCCGCCCTGCACTCCCCTCCTCTCTTCACTTTCCTCCAACTGGGAAGCAGAGCCAGCTTTCTGGAATTTCCTCTCTCCGCTCTTATGGGGAGCATAAAAAGGACCATTTCGGCCCACTTCTCCCTCCGTTACGAGCTCAGACACACCACRAATTCGTCAGCTTGTCAGAGAGCCAAACGCAGCCAAACGTCGCAGTCAGAGCTGCTGTTGGGAGGGGAGAAACCATGAGGCCTGGGTGGACGATCTGCTTATGTCTGTTTGTGCTGTGAGGACTCCCGAGTCCGGCGGTTTATCACCGTCTGAGCGAGTCGTTCATCCTCACTGTCCAGGAACAGCTCGTCAGCTGCAGAGACGAGCCTTCGCCTCGAACATCGCCTAAACCTTTTGAGGCGAAGCGTTTCATCACGTCAGTGTGTGTTCGCACACTTTAAACACGCCTGATGTGTTCTTTATGTGGCCAGTTGAACTTCTCAAGAGGCCATTTTCTGTCTGCCAGAGAGGAGAGGAGAGACGAGTGGTTCTGAGCTCCTCTGCAGGGATTTTACATCCTTTTGATCCAATGTAGATATTTAACTCAGATGATGCATAAAAAAACTAAAACAAGYTTTAAACATCTTCTTTTATTTGTCCTGGACTAATTTAATTTCTGTAATGGGTAAACAATAAAATAAATTTGATTATTTTTTTTATATTTTTCTCCTACATTAAACTGAAAAATAGTTAAATTAAAAATTTTTAGACAAATATTGTTTATTTATGTCCAATTTTAGCTCAGAATAGACAGCATTTTTGTCTGATTTTAATAAACTTGTACATTTTATTTTATGTTTTATAAATTTGAATTTCTCRTTTTATTATTTTACAATCAATGCCTCCTAATTAAAGAAAAATAAAATACAAGGTGCTCATTTAATTTTCCGGTTTAACAAAATACCCAAAAATCATTCTGTTTATGTGGAAGTGTTTTTTGTGGTAGGAGGCGTGTAAAAAAACAACATTTTTTTGTCTTTTCAGTCACAGGAGAAGATGTCTCGACTTAATTAGTCTGGGGAAAAGAAGCCAGCTGTGCTTATGGCGTCGAAGCAGTTACAAAAAGCTGTTTTATTTTAGAAAATCACCGTCTTGATTGCCTTGTTTACCGTTTTGCACAATTTTTAATGAAAACCCTCGAAGCTAATGAGCCCAAATGTCTATTAGGATATCACAAATGGCCGTTTGTTGGATGGGTTCTCGCCTGTCCTGCATGTCCTCTGATAAAACCCGCTTCATGCAGCAGAGGAACGTTTTTAACTTYGTAGGTTTTTGAATTTGAAACGATTTTGGCCACACGTGTCGTAATTACGAGTTAAAAATCCTGGACATGTTTGCTGTTATGTTGATAACATAATAAAAAAAATCAAACAGAAATATATTTTGCTTGATCTTGTTTTGTTTGCGTGTTCGTTTGCTGGGTTCCAGGAGTACAACATTCACGGCTGGTGGGTCGGCGAACTGGAAGGCAGCGTCGGCATCGTCCCCAAAGACTTCCTGCAACCCGCCTACATCCTCTGAGCTCCAACAGGTACCGAGGCACTCTCTTATCATGAGCATTATGGACCATTACTGAGGCCTAATACACAGAAACAGTCCCCCTGGTACTCATCCAGATTGCCATGGAGCTGCATTCAGTCGTTGACCTGCAGTTTATGGCATCTGCTGGCTGGAAGAAGTACTGCATAAAGCAATCTGTGGGAATAAATACGTGCTACAAAAGCCTGATTACAACAACCGTTCTATTTAAGAAAATGATGCCGTAATGCTGTTAGAAATGGACTCCGAATTATTAATGCTTGTTTTCCTGATTCTGGTTTTCCCTCCACAGCCGCCGCCGCCAACATCCAGCCGACAGACACATCCGAGCATCTTTTATCATCTTTCTAATGTACATTCCTACTAGATGTCCTCAGTCCCTATACACTATAAACATCTCAAACCAAACAAACGTTTGAGAAACTAGATCTGAAACTGATTAAACTTAAATGTATTTTTTTGTTTTAATTTATCTGTGGAAGCTGATTGTTAAATTGACTCTAAATGAGTTACAAACTATACGCCCATTTATTTTTTGAAAGATTTTCCAAAATAAAAGTAATTTCATCCACTTGTTTTTGTTTTTTCAGTTTTAATTCTGTGTAAATGACTTCCCACATTTTTTTATATTTTGATATTTATCACTTATCTAGACCCCAATGATCAAAATATTTTCTCCTCTTAGCTAAAAATGTGCATTTCGGGGTCTTTGGCGCTGGTCCCCMTTATGTCTGCTTCAGGTCTCCACAGTCATGGTTAAATATTCCTTTGGAAAAATCTTGTGTACATGCATGTTCACAACCGCACATAAGCTGGTGTTCAGATTCTGGGGTGTCTAACAGTCATTGAGGGTGTTTATAAGTATAGATGTGTATATGTATGAATGTGTGTACGTATGTGTGTGTGTGTGTGTGTGTGTG